AGGATAAATGTACTTGAATAGGCTCACTTTGCATATTTTTTTTAATTCATGGTTCAGGTAGTTCACATCGTAGTTACTTGAGCAAAAAATCGGATTTTCTTCTCAGCCGTTTCTCGTGGAAAACGTACGGAAGCCCTGTGGTGACGTCATACCATTCGTTAGCGGCTGGCCCACATAATTGGCCGAGTCTCACAGTCCCTTTTCTCAAATCAATGAATGTTCCCATGTTTGCTAGATACCGAAAATGTAAAAACAATAAATGGAATATTACTTAAAGAGCTCATTCTGCTAAAAGAACATTTTTAACAGTAATCTGTAACAAAATATTATAAATAGAACTTCAGTTTGAGTTACCAGTGAAAATATTATTTCCAAGAGATATACGAACTGTAGAGTAATTTTATGTATAAAGAAATTAAATTATTGACATTAAATGATTTCTGTAACTACTATCATCAAGATTATCGGTATTACCTTATTCACCATCTTTACTGTTATTTGTGTTGTTCGATAAAAGAATGTACACAGTCAGCCTAGAATAATTGCGACTATTGCGATAAAATCAATTTGTTTCGTATGTTCTTTTTCCAGAACAAACGCAATCGGAACTGCGAAGTAGAAAGAGACGTTCTAGGCAGCTGTGAATGAAGAATTCAATAACTGCTAATAACTGCTGTTGCAAAATTGGTGGTTAAAAATATTTTAAGTAGTTTATTTTTTGCTGCGGTGCATTGCGAATTAGCACATCGTAGCATCGTAGATTGTTTTTGGTCTACTAGAATAGTGCACGCGTTAGGTAATTAATAAAATAATTGTCGGGAGCTTAAAACACATTTGAACCGGTTCTGGAATTTTTTCCAATGTGCCTTGTTGTTTTTGTCGCAAATGGTTTCCCACTGTCGGTGAAAAGAGTGAAGCGGAAAATACTATTCAAATATTTCAATAATACGTCATCTTTTCAGTTTATTAACATTCGAATGCGTTTTGTATTCCATTTTAGAACTGAAGACCAATATAAATCATATCTTTATGTCCCAGATTTAGTAGAAAGTAAATTGTCTAAGATATTCCATATATATTTGTAAAGCGATTTGAGATACCTATCTAAAAGAAAGTTATGGCCGATTAGGAGTTTGCTTAGCTAAATGCTAAATAAATATTCACTAAAATCAAAACCTCCTCCTATTAGAGCTTAATATTCAAACACAGAATATTTGTGCTCTATCTGTTTAGTAATAGAATGCCATTTTGAAAAGTACTTAGTCTTATTTCACATAATTATGAAGACTGATTACAAACCATTGCAAAACTATTATATTAATAAATAGCTAGGTTTATTTAATACTTGACTATGATATTATTTATAGCTCAGATTAAGGCTGATAAAATTTGGAGCATAAATAATTTAATTGTTTAAATATCACTCACTGATTATACTTCTAAGGCATCAATCTGTTAAAGATAATTATAAAAATTTAGATGTGTGAAAAGGTTAAATTACAATTTTTGGTATCATTGGGGGTATGCTTTAAGTAAATAATTAGGCAGATCACATACTTGAAATATTGAATTTGCCATTCACTTTTAAGCATGCTTATCCGAGATTATAAGATTAATTCTAGTATTAATTTTATTAATTTCCTTTGAGGAAAGGTCTTGACATTAAAATAATATGAGATGTATACAGGGTATTTCAGTTCGAGTGAATCAAACTTTAATCACAAATAGAACTCAACAAATAATTCAGAATTGCCTTATAAAACAAGGGTCTAAGTATCACCGTTTTCACTCTACAGGTCGGTTTTTAAAATCATATTATTTTTGAAATCTTTGATATGCTTATAACAAATTGCTTCAAATTTTGCACATGTGCATAATTTACTGTAAAATTTACAAAATTTGTAGGTCAATGGCGTAGGAACGGGATTTTTTCATCCTAACTTCTACGCCAAAGACCTAATAATTATTTGGGGGTCATTTTTAGATTCCGTGAACAATTCTACATAAAAAAGTTGCCGATAAATCTCCACACGATTTTCTTTCTGTTGTTCGGTCATCAAACAAGGAACAAATTTTGCTGCAACTTGATGTTTGTTCAATTTTTCAGTCAAAATTTCATGACACGACCCAATTGAGATGCTAACCTCTTCTGCAATTTCTCTGACAGTTAATCGGCGATTTGAACGCACGAGATCTTTGACTTTCTGAACATCAGTTGAAGTCGAAGATCTTCCTGGTCGAGGATCATCTTCCTTTGACTGACGACCACTTTCAAATCGTGAAAACCATTCCGTACGACACAGAGAATCATCTCCTTAAGCTTGTTTCAAAAGTTGAAACATTTCCGTAAGATCTTTTCTCAGTTTCACGCAAAATTTTACGTTGCATCGTTCCAGAAAATCGCACATTTAAAAAATCGTCACTAACACTTAACACGTTGAACTGAAACATCACGAAAACTAAATGAGATATCAACAATCCAAGAACATGTGATTTCAAAGGAGGTTATGCGCAACGCAATGCTGTCATACGTATATAAATAAATATATCCATTAGTCCGTAATTAAAAAATTCGGTTATTTACAGATCTCGTATACAGTAAAGAATCAGATAAATGCAGTTAAAATACGATTTAATAGTTAAATACTCATTAAATCAAACACTCAAGGAGAGAATTCCAGCAATTCGCACTTTCTTTCCTTAAGGTCTTCGCTATAAATAATGTCTATAATCATTTGATTTAAAGAGGAAATATCTCAAGCTATTGTGTCGTATCCCACTTTATTTTAAAAAGCAGACATTTTGACCACCGGAGCAGAACAGTATTGGTACTGAGATATAAACGTGTATTATTGTAACGTTCACCTTTTATTATAAAGTTCGTTTTGGTGTTTGATTATGAGGTATTTATAATTCCCACAAGTCAATTTCGTCCATTAACAAAAGTATTTGTTCGAAAAAGTGTTAAATTTGTTTCATGATACTTGTTTTTGCGGTCCTGTCTAACATTAATAACCTGCGTTAGTTTAGTGTGTTAGCCAACTACACAACATTTAAAATATTTAAATACGTTAGTACATTTTCATTTAAATTAGTTTCCTTTACGTATTATGATGACCATTTTCACTAGCGCATTCGCCATATTTTTAAATATTATACCTATGCATACGTTTGAAATTTTACATGTGTGGACTTCGGCTAAGCAGTTCTTCCATTCCACCAATACAATAAGTATCATAACTAAGACATAAATAGGTATCTAACTGTAATATCATCTTTTAATAAGCTTGATAAATTGCATAAATATATTTTAAATTTATTTCTATCGAAAACATTATTAAAAAAATGGCATTTCACAAAATTAATAAGAACTGGAAGCAAGAGTAATCCAGATTTTCTGCTGTATTTTAACTGAGTCGGAGATATTTCTTTGAAACCTTGTAAAGGAGATCTTTTGGGGTAGCCAAATATTTTTTTACATAAAATGCAAAATTAGCAAAGAATATTGTCTTTTGTTTTTTTAATTGGAAAGGATTTTGAGAAAACGTAAATATTATTTGAAACACTACTTTGTTTACTGAAAACAGGGTATGTTGGTTGCGTGTCGTTCCTCAGAAAAATAGATTTCAATTTTTTATTGCTGTTATTCCTTATAGAATAATTTTTATATTTTTTTAGCCATATAGCTTTTTGAAATTTTATGTATATATGTAAAATACTGGATTTTTTTAGTTTTGTTGTTTTTTGATGAAATAATGTAAATGTGGTTTTGAAAGTTTAAGTACATGGTATTTCACAAATTTGACGAGAACTTGAAACTGGTGCAGTCCAATTTTTTTCTATTTCTACAAAACTTCGTTTCAAGTTTTTGGGGTAGTGAAATATGTTTTACTTAAAACATAAAACTTGTTAAGAATATTGCCTTTTACAATGAATATACCTTTTTTATTGTAACCAAAGTGGCTTCCAAAAACGCCTTCGTTTCTCCAAAATATAAAACCATATTAAAAAAACCAAATTATTTTTAAGGTTTCCTTAAGATATTGGTAAAAATAAAAGTAAAATACTTTATTGTTGCCCAAGAAACCTAACCTTGAAGTATGACCTATTTTAGTGGTCCTAAATAAAGGGAGTCGTGTAGGGAATTTGAAAAATTTGCTATATTTAGAAATAGAAGCCGCGTGTTTGAAAGACGATTACAAAAAAACTACTACATCTAGACATTTTTTATTGATTTTCATGGAAATAGTCAACTTTAAGCATTAATACATCGCCGTAATAACAGCCTACATTCAACCCAATCGACATAACTACCCCAGTTACGCAACCACAATTAAAATTAATTAATAAAGCTAATGCCCGACGGCAGCAAATGGTGCATATGCGCGTTATGAAATGGAAACCGTAAAAATTAAACGATATATCTCGTAAATAACCGCGGCGGACTTTGCCTTTAATACCGTTGTTTCTAGTTCTGGTATTCCGCACGGTGCTGTTAAGAAATAGAAAGCTGACCGGTCCGCTACGATTGAAAAAAATTATTTCATATTTGCGACCGGCTACGGCGCAGGTGAATGAATGTTGTTCCAAAATGATCTATTGGTATTGCATAGTGGAGGTCGATTTATAAATACCCGGGTAAAAAATCCTCGGACTAATTTTTCGAAACTGATAATGCAGCGTAGAATTGGACTTGCATTGTGCTAATAATTTAAATAGAACTAAAGTTGTTTGAGGTCTACAATGAATACGATTTTCCCTATTGATATGAATAAATTGAAATGTAAATTAATTCAAGGCAATTGCACTGACGTTCAATTGTAAAGATTTTAAGTACAAGCAGCGGAAAGTAGGTTCTAGGAAGCTTTCATCTAAAACAATTTGTTTCTTTGCATTTGATAAACACGCGCAAATTTTCTTCTTTGTCGATCAGTTTTGTTAATGCAATGTTTTTTCATGACCGACTACCTAGTTTTTAATTTTGTCCTTTTTTTTTCCAGGATACTAACAGTAGAATTCCATATGTGTGAGAACAGAAGTGTAGTTACTTGACTTTAGAACCTTTAGATTAATGTGTATGGGTGCAAGATGAAGATTCTGTATATATTCCTTCTTCTTTTCGTCATAGTGAACGTTGATGGACAAAGGAGGACAACGCCTGTAAGTAAATTTTAGTATATGTATTTAAATTGGCAAAAATATTTCTAGAATAACACTTATTTTTTAATACCTACACAACTTACCACAGTCAGAAAGAAACATTTTTGCCACCGCTGACTCCATCGATAGCTCGGATGACTCTGTTTATGTGTTTACACAAATCGCTGTACATAAAATTGTGCAGTTAACTCACGGTTCCATCCTTTATCACCATATCCATTAATTCATTGTTATTGCATTGATGGTCCATTTTAGTATATTTGGGTTTAACACATACCCACCCCACTGAACTTGCAATTTTTCTGTTCATTACAAAAAAACAGACAAAAAGCAGAAGGCGTGCTATCAAAGGCTACAACTATTCACCACTTTTCATGTAAGGCACAGTGGTTCTCAATAAGTTTTAACAGTTAGCTAATTAGCAGTAATTGTTTGATAGATGAATACAGACATAACCTAACTTGAAGTTATAAAGACTTAAGTTGCTAAATATAGGAAAATATATTAATATTAAAAACATAACATTAATCTTTTGACACATGCAGTTAAGTTAAAAATATCGCAGCCGGTCATCTAACTAGGCTGCCTCGGCCTATCCAGCGATCGGGAAAAGTAATGTTTAGAAAGTCGCGCACCCTCCGAAAAAAGTGAGCGGGGCCCGGTCATGCAGTAACGACATATTTTGCCGAACATTTAATGGCATGTCTTCCAATAAGTCCGGCAAGCGATTTTTCAAAAAATCTAGAGATGAAGCACTGTCTAAGCGTTTAGGCAATTCAAAAGGATCTATTAAAGTGTCATTAACGATACCAGCCCACATGTTCACTGAAAACTGTTGCTGAAAGGAACCCCGACGTATTTCGTGTGGATTTTCGATAATCTAGTGGTGAGTGTTTTGGACATTACGTACACAATTTGGACTGAAACATGCTTCATCTGTAACAAGTATTTGCGCTGTAAATTGAGGATTTCTTGCATATTCTTGAAGCAACCATTCGCAAAAACCTCGACGTAGTGAAAACGCCTCAGGAGTCAGCGCTTGCTTCGCCATAAATTATGAACATAATATTCGCGATTGCTAAATAAATGCGCCATTTTAAAAATAAAACTTGGAAATACGGCTATAAATGTAGTTTCGGAAAACAGCACAGCAATCACTACAACAATGTATTACAAACTGACTTTCGAGTACAGTCCGGCTTCATAAGAAACCTACAAACCCGTAAAAAGTGTTACAGAATTTTTTGTAAATACTCACCGCGATAAAATACATGTTTTTCAGCAATTCCAAAACAGTTTTAAACACATTTTTAATTAGTTTTTTTCTTTATGACCACAAACTTCCGATACAAATTTGTGACATCAGTTAACTCAGTTTTTGCTTCTTTTTACCCCTTTAAATATTTGAAGTTCGTTAACATCCTTATATCGACAAATGACACAAAATGCTTACATGTTACTTGAAAGGGTAACAAAGAAAAGTTTAATTTAAAACAGTGGAAAAATATGTCTAAATTGTCAAATCAAATGACCATTGAGCATATTCAACTTTAGGATTATAAAATTTTCCACACTTTTCCCAATTTATATCTGCTTCTCTTTATGGCACTGTTATAACTAAATATAACTATTTAGATAGCTAAGACTTACTTAAGCCATTTTTTTACTGTATTCCTTCCCAATAATCAACTAAGATGTTTCTTTTCATTCGTGTGACTACACACTCTTAATTGATTGCGAAACGTCTAGATATTGTATAAAAGGCAAGATACCACACCGTTTTGTAATAAACGCGCCTACGTTATCAGAAATATCCAATAATTATAATGCATAACTAACATCCACTTTTACATTAACGCAAATTACATTTTTTGCCCCTCTTTGCAGGGATTTCCTATTCCTGCTGTTTCTTACGGTACAAGTTAATGATCAACAACTTTCATTTTACAAATGAGCCTTAATACCGGCAACACCATGAGGTGTTGTAGCAGAAAATGCATGACTTGCACTTGCAATTATGAGCAGCGGTATTGTGTAGAGATATCTGCATCTACGATCTCTTCTATATTTAGATGCGCGGGATGACTAGTTGTTCCATTGTGATCTGTCCCGCCTACTTGGATTGACATAGGCGGGAGATTTATGAAAAAAACAAATGAAAGTATTCAGCTGCCTGCGCATCTAAGTAGAGAATGTCAGAGTGATCGTTTTTATTTATTAACTCAATCTTACTATTATTTTGTAATTTCTGTTAGTGTCGGCAATAGTCTACAGTTGTCATATGTCATAATTAGAGCAGATATTGAAATATACAATGCATCAGTTCAACCGTAACCGATCAGTAGATGCTCTAGAATTTAATTTCGACAAAGATGACTTGTGAAAAAAGCAAAATCGCATTATTTTATCTATTCCCCTTACTTGTTCCAATCGTCGCAACTTTCGACAAATAACGTGGTCAATTTCCCAACATTATTAATGCAAAAACATACTCATTGCACAGGATGTGGTAAATCTTACAATGTTATTTTTTAAATATCACAGTAATTTTGTCGCGGATTTGTTTTCCTTGTTGTTGGTGTTTTATCTCGTTTGACCTTCCCTTTTTCCAACGACAATTTTTTGTTCAATCTACGTCACACTTTGGATTTGAAGAATGTTTTATTCTTTCGCATAACAGTTGGGCAAGGGGCTAAAACAAAACAGTGCTGAAGAAAAACATGTTAGTAAGTCAAGGATAGAGATTTTGGTTTTAAAATCGATTTTTCATTCGTCATTTTCACAGATAAATGAAGCAATCGAGGCAACTCATTGTTGCTCAATTTTTTTATTGTGTTTTCAAACCGATGTTAAACAAAGTTGATTTCTTTGGATTAAAATGAAAAGGACATATCTTCTAGCCTGGACAAAAAGAATAAATAAATTTCACCTTAAATGAGAGGTTTTATTTTACAAGAACAACAGGATTGCAATAATTCATAAAATTAGGTGAATATATACTGAGAAAACTAGTATTGTATTTCCAATGACACATTTTACTTGACGTTATTTCTTAAAATCAATAGCAACCATAATTGATATCAGTATCAATCAAGCAGTGGAAAGTTTATATTTGATATAAAAACAAATATATAACCTATTAGTGTATTGTTTGAACAGGGTTTTGTTAGAATTATTAGACATGCGAAAGAAACTGAACTACAAAACCAACAGATATTACAAAATCAACTAATATTTCCATTGCAGCTGGACAATATGAATATTTTCCCTACATTTTTAATCTATATAAAGTTTTAATCTTGCGTCTCTTGAAAAGTTAATTATTATGCTCTATTTTTTGAAGTAAGTAAACAAAATGTATTAAATTATAAAAATTTAAATAAGTAGACGAAATCGGTAATTAAATTATCGGACAGATTCCATATATGTATATTTGACGCAATTTCCCATATATACAATAACTATTAATTTTGATCGAAGAATACTGAATATAGTGTAGTATTGACATAAAACGTATATCATTGAGTGTATCAGGATAATGTTTTCTCCGAGTATTCAATGATTCAAGAAATAGCTTACTTATATCGTATATATTCATTTTTCATGTAAAAGTCACCTTCTACGTCTGTTTGATCCACTTTAAGTATTTTCAAACTTTCTACAAACAAAATATTAAGTTATTTTATATGCTTTGTATTTATAAATAGTTCATTAATGATAAAGCCATCGTTTTGATATAAAAGTTAAAATGGTTTCTCCGCATTTTTCTTATGGTAATATATAGTGAAAAATTTTAATATTCCTATGAATTAATTTCTAATAAATTAAACATTGTCTTTGGATGAAAGGGAAAGAGGATAGGAAAATTTTATAATTTTATACTTAAATTGAGAAGAGAAATGTTTAATATACATAGTGTCAATTATTACGAAGTGGCACATATGTATGGCTATAATGAACTTGTTGGTAAGTCGTTAATTTACGGTGAATGTCAGCAAAACGCTTCAGAGGCATGGCAAAGTATTTTTCAATTAAATTTTTGCGAGTGTACTTTCTAGGTATTCTTCACACTTTTTTTAATATTTTGGTACCGAAAAATAATGTTTCACTTCTTCACACTTATATTTGATAGAACTATTTCTATACAGCTTGATGGAACTGGTATGCGATGTTATTAAATTCTGGAACAAATTTAATAATTGCGATGAGCCGAAGAATGAATGAAATTTTTTTTTTTTTAATTTCTAAATAACCGAAAAAAAAGTGAAAACAAGCTTATGTGATTGTAGCTGTCCGTAAGTATTGACTGACTTGGGGCAAATCAAATTTGGACCATTAAATTCGATCAGCTAATTATAGACTTACCACAAACCTAGAAGTATCTTAACTCGTTACTTTCACTTTCATCAAAAAATACTCTCTAAAAGCATTTCGAGTCCACAATTATTATGTAAGAATATATAGAAGTTAAATGGTGTGCATAGTCTGGTTCCAAAACGTTAGGAAAGATAATATAACCGTGAAAACTGTGATTAGCAAAATTAAATTTGTCAGAAATCTTAGAAAGTTAATCGTAAACATTTTGAATTTATTTCTTTGCATATTTTTAAATACGCACGTATATACACGTATCTAAATACTTCTTTTTAGAAAGCATATGACATATATGCTAAGTATCAGCTTCCCATATTCAATTTGAATTAAAAAGTAAGTTTCTATAAAATTCCAGATGACACAAAATGATTGATTCTCATTTATTGGATACTTGTAACTTTTAAATAATATGTTACAGCCAATTAAGTCTAATAAATTAAATTAACATGTAACTTCAGTAGTTCTACAAACAATGTTAAATAATATATAGTTATTTATCAGTGTCATTAGTTAGGTATTTAGAAAGCTTAGAAATATACCTTAGTTTCCAATGGACTCAAAGCATATAACTGTTTTTATTGAAGAAAATAGACAAATTTAATCAATATCTACGTTATCTTAAATCT